GGTTAAACAAAAATCATTATTTATTATGCATTGATCGATATAATTTAATATATAATGCTTCATATAATAAACTATATATAACATAACATAATAATATTGTATATTGTTTTCTGCATGTGAAAGGAAATCCTGTCCTAATCTATGTGGTGACACGTGTAAGATATAGTGGTTATTTTGAAAAGCAGTTGAAAGGTAAACTAAATGTTATGTTTAGCAACAAGATGAAACATTGAAATTAAGAAATTCAAACTGGTAGTTTTCTATTTACAGAAAGCAAATAAAGCCAAGCTGTACCATTCATAGTCACAGTATCATTGTGTTTGACTTAGGAAATCTGACACCTTCACATTTCTCAAATTAATCCAAACCCAAAAGTATTTGTAACTTTTTCTGAGACATGATCTTAGGAATCATCCCAGTGCACACGCATCTGAAATTCCCACCTTCCACTCACCCAGGCTACCCAGTTTTGCAGGGCAAGCTTTGGCATGACCCTCATAAAAGAGGAAAGGGAAACTGCAGGCACGGGGACAAGACTGTTTCAAAGGGAGACGCTGACGGGCTAGGAGCTCAGACCCAAGGAGAACGCGCAGACGGCACCTACTAGTGAGCTTTGCTGTGACACCTGTTAATTTCCTTAAGCTGGAAAATAAATTTCTATTATTTTTGGTGCTAAATTTTTGACAGTCATTCGAATTTTTAGAATATTTATTTATTTTGGACTCGGTGTGGTAGCCTAGTGGCTAAAATCCTCCCCTTGCGCACGTGCCGGGATCCCATACAGGCACTGGTTTGTGTCCAGCTGCTCTACTTCCCATCCAGCTCCCTACTTGTGGCCTGCAAAAGCAGTAGAAGATGGTGCAAAGCCTTGGGACCCTGCATCCTTGTGGGAGACCCAAAGTAAGCTCTGGGCTCCTGGCTTCAGATATGCTCAGCTCCAGTCATTGTGGCCACTTGAGGAGTAAACTATTTTCCTCTCTGCCACTCCTCCTCTCTGTATATTTGCTTTTCCAATACAAATAAATAAAGAGAAAAATTGATGTATTTTATTTGAAAGGCAGAGTTAAACAGAGAGAGATCTACTGTCCACTGGTTCATCTCCAAACGGCCATGACAGCCAGGGCTGGGTCAGACTGCAGCCAGGAGCCAGAAGCTTCTTCCAAGTCTTTCATGTATGTGGCAGACTCAAACACTTGAGCCATCTTCTGCTGCTTTTCCACACACATCGCCAGGGAGCTGGGTGGGAGGGGATGTCACAGACCGTGGCTGGCTCCAGATATTTTTGATGTTGCAGCGACTGACCAGGTGCTGGCGACACAAAGGTGATATTTTTGTAATATTGAGCCTCAAGGGATTTATAGTCAACTGAGTGAGGCAGAGAGAGAAATAGACAGGAAATTGTTAATCAATCAATCAATCAATCAATAAAAGCTGTCAAGGCCTCTGATGATGCTCAAAATAATTCCCACCTACCAGGCTGAAATAAAAGCCTGCATCTTGTCGTTGACAATCAAGGCAGCCCCTACGAGCATCCCCAGGCCTGTACCCTTCCACACAAGCATCTGCATCCTTGGCTCTTTTTTTTTTTTAAGATTTATTTTTATTATTATTTTTTTATCGGAAAGGCAGATATACAGAGAGGAGAGACAGAGAGGAAGATCTTCTATCCACAGAATCATTCCCCAAGTGGCCACAACAGCCGGAACTGAGCTGATCCGAAGCCAGGAGCCTCTTCCGGGTCTCCCACGCGGCTGCAGGGTCCCAAAGCTTTGGGCCGTCCTCCACTGCTTTCCCAGGCCACAGGCAGGGAGCTGGAAGGGAAGCGGGGCTGCCGGGATTAGAACCGGCGCCCATATGGGATCCCGGGCATGCAAGGCGAGGACCTTAACCACTGTGCCACCGCGCCGGGCCCAAAAAAAATCTTACAGTGTTTTTACCACAGTGCCAGCTGCCTGTTGAATAACCCTGTAGGCTCTTCCAGTTTGCCATGGTGGTGTTCATGTGACATCCCTGTGTGAACAGTGCCCATCCCCTTCCTTGTAGATAGATCTGCGTGCCTGTGGCCAGTGACACACTTGCATGTTTTCTAAAAGACCTCGAGCGCATGTTCTGGTACCCTGTCCCTCTCCCTTTGTGGCCAGCAGTTTGGTGAATTACTGGAAGATGGTGGTGCCTGCTCGGATTTTATTTTCTTTAGTTTTTAGAGGTTTTATTTATACGAATGGCAAAGCAACACAAGGGGGGAAAGATACAAACAGAGATCACCAGTTGCTCCAAGGTGCCTGTTAGCAGAAAGCTGGACTCACAGCTGAGTGGGCATTCAAATGCAGTCTCCCCAGTATCAGGCGCAAGCATCCCAAGTGGTATTTTAGATACTGTGCCAAATGCCTGCCACCTACTCCAGTTCTGGTTCTCTCTAATGAGCTTCATAATCTATGTCTGAGAGGAAATTTGATAAAATGACATGTTTATGGATTTTTTCCTGCTGTTTCAGTATTGTCTTGCAACTAAGTAAATCCTTTAAAAATAAACCCTTTTTAAGCAAGTATGAGTTGATAGTTTTTTTAAGTTTAATTAGCATTTGATACTAGCTGGTCCATCCACCTGCAATAAAGCACTCAATCTGTCAACACTTGTTATATTAAAGAGAAAATTCTTAATTCTTAATAATACATTTATATAATCGCATAGGCTTTTATAATCTGTTTTAACACAGTCATTTTAATTGTCACAGCATGTTTTTCTGAAGTGTGGGATTTCTTTTGCAATCTGCAGTTACTGTGAAGGACTGTAACCAAATGATCACTGGTCACAGGGTAAGAGGAAGAGCAAGAATGCAATGGGCTAACCGGATTAGAGCATTAACCTCAGTTTGTGCGCGCACACTGAAAGCTCTGTCATCCAAGAGCAGATCTGAAAGAGCAGAATGTTCTTGGGATGCAGCAAACAATGAAAAGTCAAAAATGGAAAGGCATTCAGACTGGAGTGAATCATCTCAGAGGATGAAAAAAATAGCAACTCCCACAAATGTCATCATTAAAAACACACACTTTACAGTAGAGAATAAGGAGGTGGGGGATGGAGCAGTTTGCTTCAAACACAGTCACAGTCAAGTGTCCAGCTCTTGGCTCACGCCTGGCCCAACACCACAGTGGCAAACACAGATGGAAACTCTGTCTCTCAAATAAATAATTGATTGTGAGAGCAAGAGATACTGGAAAAAAGAGAAAAAGAAAGCTGAGAGCGTGTAACCCCTCGAACGGCTGCACTTAATCCTAAAAAGTTACCATGTTGAGATAAATCATTTAAAACAATGGCTTTTTTTTTCTTCCCATCAGAAATACTTTTTACAAGTGGGACAGTCATCATCCCTGTACCATTTGATGAAGATTACCCTTTGTTGAATTGTATTCCTCTGTTCTCTCTCTCGCTTGCTCTCACTCTTGCTCTCTCTATGTGTATCTTTATATCAGTAGAATCATAAACAGATATATAGAGATGCAAACAGACAGATGTGTTCTGCCAAGATTTGCCTGAATCACCCTATTATTTTCCCCTTTCTAGATTTCACTCATTTATTTGTTTATTTATTTTTTCTCACTCATTTATTTTGTCAAAACTGCTGATACCCACCATAAAGTTTTGTTTTTCACTTACTTGATCATTAATATCCTCTCAAGTCATTAAGTATTTGACACGGTTTTAAATTGTTGCAATGTATTTCCTGATACAGATGTACAATCTTAAATTATTGAATATTAGGTTGTTTTCAAACAAAGCAATAAACATTCCCCGAATGTAGCTTTATTTGCATTTGCAAGTATACCTTAGCAACAAAACTTACACTGGGGATTGTTCGTATGTGCTACATAGCACCATGGTACCAACTGCCTGGCAGTGAGGGAGAGCCATCAGCCTGGAGAAGTCACACCATTACGGACTCTGGGTATTAATATTTTAAAATCTTGACCAATTTTGGATTCAGTGACTCATAAGAAGACAGAAATCCCAAACCTAGAAGTTTTGATAAATCGATTTAAAATTAACTAGCAAGCCATTACTCATGAATTGAAAATCTGAAAGTTTGATGTTATTTTTATTCCTTACATAAACAGCTTAGTTTTGCTTCACGGAATCAATTGATATTCAAAGAAAACATTTCAAATGAAACAGCCAATAAGATATAGGCTTACAGGGAAAGGAAGACCACTCCAGTGAGCTTTCTTAGATTACTTCATATTGATGGTGTTCAGCTGGATAAATACCAAAAGTCAATTTTGTCAGTGAACCCAGAGTTGATTTTTCTCTGTTGAAAGGTCTTATGAGAAACAGGTAACAAAAGATTAATGTTTTCAATGGAATCTGCCCCTTTATTAATTTCTTCTGGGCTATGTTCCCCACGTAGACGAGGGAATGTTGTTTCTTACACAAGAAATGGCACACATGGAAAACACTCAAGGAAAGCTAGTCATCAATTTGATTTTTACAATTATTGCCTAACACCATATGTTACAATTTTCTTGACCATACATTTTTGGTCTACATTTTTTGACCATAAGATAAAAATAAAAGGGCTGAGTGCCATGGCCTAGTGGCTAAAGTCCTCACCTCAAATGCGCCAGGATCCCATATGGGTGCCAGTTCGAATTCTGGCAGCTCCACTTCCCATTCAGCTCCCTGCTTGTGGCCTGGGAAAGCAGTCAAGGACGGCCCAAAGTCTTCGGACCCTGCACCTGCATGGGAAACCTGGAGGAGGTTCCTGGTTCCTGGCTCAGATCGGCATAGCATTGGCTGTTGTGGTCACCTGGGGAGTAAATCATTTGATGGAGGATCTTCCTCTCTGTATATTTGACTTTGCAATAAAAATAAATAACTCATTTTTTAAAAAGATTAAAATGAAAGCAGACAAGACCACCTTTGTATGTGCCCAATGAGAGTGGACTCTTAATTCTATGGGCCAAATGTCTTTGTCCATGTCCAAGGCCAAGTCTTCTACTTGGGTTCTAGATCCCATGCAAATCTTGCATCTTTATGGACTTTGTTCTAGTAATTACTCCCTCTCAACTGTATCATCCATTCTTCCTTTTCTTGGGGTTTATTCCTACTAGAAAAATAATATGCCATAATAGTTACTATCTTAGAAAAAAAAATGTTAATCCGACAGGTTCTTCTAGCCTCAGATCATTTTCTGTTCTCTCCTTCATCACAAAGCTCCTTGAGGTAGCCATGATTCCTGACTTGACCTTTTACCTCATATGGTGTCCTGGTTTGCTGTCTCCAGGTGCCTCTTGTCCGTGTCGCTGACGGCTTCATGTCCCTAGTCATAGTGGTGATGTCTGTTTTCATTCTACAAGAATATCGGAGCTGTATTCGACCCACCCTCTCCCTCTTAAAGTACTTGCTTATTTGACTTGTAGGCAAAGCAGTCTCTGAGTTTTCCTTCTTCTTCAGTGTAACATGTTCTTAGATCCTAGGCCAGTTCCCTGCTCAGTGTACCTGCTTAGTGCCGGCATGCCAAGGTCTTGGTCCCAGGACTCTTTTTATGTGCATGCACGCACACACATCCTAGTTCTGCAGCATCAAATATCATTAACAAACTTCACAAGAGTGGTTGGGAAACTAACTGGCTGAGCTAAGAGTAGGTGGAAGATTAGTACCATTTAGTTGTTATGAATTTCATATTCATAAAAATTAGCACTGAATTAAGTATATGAGAGGAAAATACATTTCTGTCTTGTCTGTCTAGGCCATGATTTATTTGGGTTCCTTTTTGAAGGCAGCCAAGTTTAAATCCTGACACAAAGGGACAGGTTGAAATCCCAAGGCAGAAAGGGGTTTCCGGGCTTAGAGTTTGGAGAAGACAGGAGAAGGGGATCCCAAGGCCCAGTAAAGGAACTAGTCTTTGGGAAGATGAGGGCCACATCTTCTGTTGATACAGAGGGAAGGAGGAGAGAATCAGTGATGATACAGGAAGATTTATATGTTTCCTGAGAAACCAAGATGTTGTGACATGATAGCTTCCTTTTGTCTATGGAATAGGAGGCAAGGCATTCTGTTCAGAGGGTGGAGTGGTGGGGGTGGCTGGGAGAAGGGCCCTGCAGGCTCAGAGCCAGTAGTTGGGAACTGTCGGTTGCTTCAAGTGAAGAGTGAAGTTCAGGCTGCCTGGAGACACGCTGTAGGAATGCCCATTTGCAGCTGGTGCTGACAGATTTATAGGGTAGAGCACAGCAGGCACCCATGGTGACTCTTGGTTCAAACCCAGGCTGTGGGAGCAGGAGTCTAGCACAGCAGTTAAGGCACCTGTGTCTCATGTTGGACAAGCCGTGTTCCATTCGCAGTGCTGGCTTCTCTCTCCAGCTTTCTGCCAGTGCTGATCCTAGCACCTGCGTTCCTGCACCCACATAAAAGAGGTGGATTGAGTTCCCAACTTTCAGCCTCAGCCCCTGGGCTGTTGTACGTCTGTGCAGCAAACCAGAGCTGAAGGCCATCTCTGCTTCTCTGTGTGTCTCCCCACACTCTCTACCTCTCAAAGGTAATAAATACATTTAAGAAACTAAAAACATCTTAACTGCTTTAAGTGATCACATGGCTAGTAATAATTTTAGTGCTGTTATTCTGAAACTATTCTGTATGTCATGCATAATTATATTAACATTCTTCACTTGATCTTAGCCAAAAGGCCGAGAAGCAATTATATTAACATTCTTAAGAATGAAAAGAGTGCAAGAGAAAAGTAATACCAAAATAAAATCAAAGAAATTAAATGAAAACTTCACCATTCAAAATGTAAATTGAATGAACACGATGATTTTTCTTAAAAAAAAAACACACACACAAAACTTGGGCCTGCCATGATAGCGTAATGGTTAAGGTCCTCGCCTTGAACTCGCAAGGATCCCATATGGGCTCTGGTGTACGGCCCGGTCTCCCAAGGGTTAACTCCACAGCTTAGCTTATTTCTCAAGGGGTAATAGGATGGGCAATCTTGGCCTGATACACTTAGCCCCTGGCTTGACGTCCAGTTTCCTCTTCCCTGCTTCCCCTTTTTCCAAAACGCCCCCAGGGGAGTTTAGGAGTTGCTTGAGCATTGAGAAAGTATTGTGAGAGGCTAGGCAGACTATAAAAATGCAGGCTGAAGTTCGAATAAATGGCATTCTCTTTACAAGAATGACCCACTGTGTGTTGTCTTTTTTGTAACCCTAGTCCCTCTGCTTGGCTTGGGGTACACGGCAATGGCGGCGTTGCCAACACATCAGTTCTAATCCCTATTGCTCCACTTCCCATCCAGCTCCCTGCTTGTGGCCTGGGAAAGCAGTCCTTGGGACCCTTCACCCATGTTGGAGAGCCAGAAAGAAGTTCCTGGCTCCTGGCTTTGGATTGGCACAGTACCGGCCGTTGCGCTCACTTGGGGAGTGAATCATCAGACGCAAGATCTTCCTCTCTGTACGTTTACCTTTCCAATAAAATAAAAGTAAATCTTTTAAAAAAAAACTTTTACATTTTTTTCACTTACAGAACTCTTTTAGCCTACTATGCCACGGTGCCTGCCCCTATGGCTTGTGTTAAAAAAAAACAAAAACAGCAACAACAGAAAACAGGCCTGGCACAATAGCCTGGTGGCTAAACTCCTTGCCTTGCAGATGTTGGGATCCCATATGGGCATCAGTTCATGTCCTGGCGGCTCTACTTCCCATCCAGCTCCCTGCTTGTGGCCTGGGGAGGCAGTTAAGGATGGCCCAAAGCCTTGGGACCCTGCACCCATGTGGAGGACTCGGAGGAGGCTCCTGGCTTTGGATCAGCTTGGCTCACCTCCAGCTGTTGTGGCTACTTGGGGAGTGAATCAGCAGATGGAATATCTTTCTCTCCTCCATAAAAATCTGCCTTTCCAATGAAAAATTTATAAATCTTAAAAAAGGAATATTTTAGCTCTGTCCATGAAAAAACTCAGATATTATAACCATTTTAGAAGCAATTTAGTATCTTCCAATGCCTAGACTGCACCCTATAAATACCATTTTCTGTTAAAGGTCACTGGAAACCCATGCTCCTGGAAGAAGTGGGTGATTTCCAGTGTGGGATAAAAATATGTAAAACGATGGGTACAGTGAGATGCTCAATTGACTAATTCTCCATCTCCAAGCATCCAGCATCCCACACAGACACTGGTTTGTGTCCTGGCTGCTCCACTTCCCATCCAGCTCCCTGCTTGTGGCCTGGGAAAGCAGCAAAGGATGGTCCAAAGCCTTGGGAACTGGACCCACATGGGAGATCCAGAAGAAGCTCTTGATTCCTGGCTTCAGATCAGCTCAGCTCCAGCTGGTGGCAGCCAGTTGGGGAGTGAATCAGCACATGGAAGAGCTTTATCTCTTCTCTGTAAATCTTCTCCAATATAAGTAAATAAATGTTTAAGAAACATAGGTAAAGTGATTCTGGAAGAGGCTCTGTAATTCTAGAAGATAAAGAAACCGTGAAAGATGAGTGGGACCGTGGTATCTCTGAGCCCCAGTCTAGAAGGTTCCTAGCATCAAAGATGGGATAGTGGTTGGGAGGCTGGGTGTGGCTTCTCCCCTTATCTCTCCCCTCCTCCCAGATACAGGAAGGAAAAAAAGAGAATGTCAAAACAATGGACTCACCCACTTGACCCTTGACCCTCCTCACCCTTATCAAATATGTAAAAATCATCAAAAATAAAATTTATGCAATTAAAACAAAGATGGGACTAATCAGCTTCTGGAAAAACAGGAAGAGGAAGCATTGTGCATCAAATATATTAAAAATCCTTGGATGCACAGTGATATAAATATTTATTTATCTGCTTTCCACTGGTTCACCCTCAGATGCCTGAAACAGCCAAAGCTGAGCTGAAACCAGGAGCTAGGACCTCCATCTGGGGTTCCCACATGTGCAGCCAGAACCTGAATGCTTGCACCTACATCTACTGCCTCCCAGGAGCATTAGCAGGAAGTTTGATCTGAAGGGCAGAGTAGTCGGTGTCTTGATCCCAAACATTTCTTATAGGATATGGGCATCCAAAGTGATGGATTAATCCACTGTGCCACAATACCTGCCACTCATACTGAGGAAAAAAAAATTCTCATAGGTCGTCTTTGGAGGATGCTAGGGAAACAACAATCTCCTTAGATCCACTGTTACAATGCAACATGCCTATTTGCATCTTTCAGCACTTGAGCAGGTGTCTGTGTAGTGCTGGTACATTTTTTATTTCAGTACAGTAGCTCAGGCTGTTACAAATTAATGGTTGATACGATGTAGCTGGCGAAGCCACTGTGCCTACAATGCCAGCTTCCCAAATGGGCACTGGGTTGTGTCCTGGTTGCTCCACTTCCAATCTAGCTACCCTACCAATGGACTGAAAAAGAAAAAGCAGTGGAAAATGACCCAAGTGTCTGAGCCCGTACAACCTGTATGGAAAACTGTGATGAATACTCCCACTCCTGGCTTCAAGTTGGTCCAGCTCTATTTCAGCCACTTACAGAGTGAACTGCAGGCGCAAGAACTCTCCCTCTGTAACTCTCCGATAAAATCTAAAAATACAAAACAAACAAAGGCAAACTGATGTTCTCAAGTGTCCATTCTGAGAACTCAGAGTTGCCTTGGAAAAATTTGACAATCTAATGCCTGAATGAGATGCTTGATATTGAAAGGGAAAACCAGCAGCTTATTTTCTCCCTTCTGGAAAGACTTCAGAGTGTGATAATCTTAAAATGTTGACTAGTGGAACCTACATGTTTCCCTTGGCAAAGACTTTGTCAAGGTCCAGGCTATTTTTTTCTAATCAACCAATGACATCTTTGTAGGGTTAAGTTTTATAATGCATGCAAAAATAGACCTCATCTGAACTCAGCATCTGAACTTCTAATTTGGCATTCTGGAAGCTTTCCTGAGATGAATTATGCATTCCTGTGACTGTGTCTGTGTACTAGGAATTCGGGTTAGCTGTTTTGATCGTAACCATCCCCTTGCCCTGTAGGCAACCCTGGAGTGATCCCAGGTCCGATAGTAGAGACAGGGGCTCCCTCATCTGACACCTGCAATGTCTCTTAAGAATGTTTAAAATTCCTTGAAAAAGCTCAGGCATGTTCTGGTTAGGTCACCTTTAGCTATAAAATCTTTTTCCTCCTACCTCATAGTGCAGAGATCCTCACATCCGCAGCCATCTGTGGTTACTCCTCCATCAAGAAGTTCCGGAAGTGGCACTTTGTGTCATCCTGAGTATGTCCTCTTTCTTCAGTCTCTGCACATTTTCCTCCTGTGGAATCTGTAGATTTTCCCAAACCATAGAGAATTTGGGCAGAAAGAATAAATATTGATCACTGAGATCATAAACTCAATGATATATATGAGATTACTGTGAAGACATTTCTAAAATTAACGCATCAAACACACTATGGTATTGCATCGCTCTCTTTAACAGCTTTCATTATGTTAGACTGTGGTTATGATAAACCTATGTGGCGTCTGTTGAACTTCACCATCAGCTGACTCCTTCATCCTCCATGTTCAATCCAGGAGGAACAGCTATCAATGCTACTTTTTACATCTCTTTTTCTTTAAATGTTTTTAAAAGATTTATTTTATTTATCTGAAAGGCAGAGTTACAAAAAGAGGAAGGGAGAGAGAGAAAGAGAGAGAGATCTTCCATCTGCTGATTCATTCCCCAAATCAGGCCATCTAAAGCCAGGTGCCAATAAACTTATCGAGATCTCTCATGTGGGTGCAGGAGCCCAAGGACTTCGGCCGTTCTTTACCATATTCCAAGGTACATTAGCAGAGAGATGAATTGGAAGCAGAACATCTGGAACTGGTGCCCATACGGGATGCTAACATCTCCAGTGGAAGCTCAACCCACTATGTCAGAGTATCCACTCATCTACATCTCACTTTATTCTCTTCACTTCATGGTCTGCCCACTGCCACCAGAGACTCTAGGCTGAATTACTGCATTAGCTTTGTATCAAGTTTTTTTACCTCCGTTTTACCCTTACAATCTTGTCCCTGAGTGAGAAACCTTTATTGGTATAGGACACTGAGGTTTTAGAATAATTTTTTCTGCAACATCATTTGGCCTAATTACATGAATAAACTAGTTCCTTTTTTTTTAATTGATCTGAAATGCAGCCACATGGAGACAGTGAAAGAGAGGGGAAAAGATAGAAAAATCTTCTATCCACTGGCTCACCATCCACCTGCCTGCAAGCACTGAGTTTTGATCTGAGCTGGGCAAGTTGAAGCCAGGAGCTTGGAGACTGAAACTCCATCCAGGTGTCCCATGTGGGTGACAGGGAATCATCTGCTGCCTCCCAGGGTGCACGTTAGCAGGAAATGGGAACTGGAAGTGGAGCTGGCACTCCAAAAAGGGATATGGTATGCCAGGTGGCATTATAACCTCTACACCGAGCTCTAGTTTTTTAGCTTCCTGGAAATGTCATACATATGCTTGCTTTAGGCCTTTCTTTTTTCTGCTCTTGCCTGTCTTAATGGTTGTAATCCCTTCCCAGCCTTCAGATCTGTTTAGATGTCTTTCCTCTGTAAATGAACCCAATTCCCTAGGTCTGGCTGCCCATCCTGTGTTTTCCTGTGCTTCCCCTACCAAAACACTTAAGATAGAGCAGGTTGCCAGTCTCCTCCCCTCTGCTGGAGGCTTGCGTAGGGCACACTGACTTCATGACCCTCGTCAGTATTGCATTCTTAGGCCTGGTATATGAGAGGCACCATAAATCTGTTGAGTGAGTAAATAATCCCATTTTGAATTGTGAGGGCCTGGTTGTACTACATGTTAGGAAAAGGGACCGAAGGCAGAAAGTAGGAGGAATTGATTCTGGTCTGACTCACTGTGCTGGTACAAGTGGAAACACCATCAGTGGCAGTGAAATTAGTCTGTGCTCCCGTCTTCACACTGACAGGTTCTTACAGGCTCTCCAAGTCTCACATGTTAAGAGTCAGGAGTAGCTATAAACGAACAGGTGTGAGAGTGGAGTTTGCTGAGATGAAAGAAGGTTGGGCATTATTCTCTCCCTGCATGTCTCAACAGCCCTCAAGAACTACACACAGCTCAGCTCACCTGGTTGTGGTATTTCCTGTTCCAAGACAGGCAGAGGGCCAACTCTTGGAATGTCTGTGTGGGATGGACGCATTCCACAACTCTGAGCACCCCCGAATATTCGCCTGCCGCTCCTTGCCATGAAACAAATGTATAATGAGAACTTACTGGAAATGCCATGTAGGATATCCATGGAACCTATGATGTATAGGTAATGTTGTCTGGGGCCCCACAATTGAAAGACCATCAGAAAACCATGTTGGTGAAGACCTTCTGGGAAAGAAAGAGAAACAGGAGTTCAGGTTCAAAGGCTGGCTCTGGTGGCACTGAAGAGGAAACCTGATTCTGAATTTTTCTGAAAGAGCCTTGGGAGGGGAGGAGCGCCACGAGCCCCAAGTTGGCCAGTGTTTTATCGTCTTAATCCTGAAAGGTAAAGGGTTTGATGTTCAATGGGCAGAAGGCTTCACCCGGCCTCGGAACCCACATGTAGAAGTGTGTTGCAACTCACTAGGCCAGGCAGCAAAAGTGACTCATTCCACACATGAGGTTAATTCATTTTTCTGAAGGAATAGTATAAATGTGTACACACACAGCCAAGCCTCAAAGCATCTTTTGGAAAACTGAAGGAAGTCAGGCAGGCTAACACATACTAGCTTGTGCTACACATACTAGCGGTGTGCCAAAGACTGGGGAATGCCAGAAACACTGAGGATGGAGGTTGGACCCAGATCCCATGATTGAAAGCTGAAGGGACCTCGTCTCCAACCTGAGAGAAAGCAGCACTTGCATACTGCATTCCAGTTCATCCAGGAGACCGAGTGGGTTAAGTTCCTTACTGTGCCACTAACTACCTCTATGGCCTGGGACACATCGATTATTACTTAACTGGTTTCTTCATTGGTGCAATGAGGATAAAGAGCTTACTTTATAACATCAGGGTGAGAATTAAGCATGACAGCATTTATAAAAGGCTTTGCATGGTACCTAGCTGGAGAAAGTCTAATTAAACAGCAATTATCACCAAGCTGAGTTCACCACTGAAGACCTGGATTACCTTGTAGGGTGGGAACCTCCCTGCATCTGAAAATAATTCTGCAAGTCAGCTGGCCGTGAAGCAGGCCCATGCAGAATAGTTTTTCTTGTCTAGGTATGGGACGAAGTGGCAAATAGTGGATGGACTCAGGAACGCACACAAATCCAAGATACTATCCTGTATTAATGTTAAGTTGCTTTGTATAAGTATAGATTCTAATAAAATGCACCCAAATGCACAAAGCTAAAATGACTGGAACTCAGAGGGAAATATGGACCGTCTATTTTATGAAGGGAGATTGCCTGTTTGATCTATTTTATGTGCTAATGGGCAACAGGCACATTGCTAGGCAAACCTGAACACAAGCATTAGGAGATGTAATATGACTTATCTCGCTTGATTTACTTACAACCCCATGTCTATTGGAAATCAACATTTTCTGTGGCTTCAAACACTTACAAGAATTTATTATAGCCTAGTTCATGCAACAATCTCAGGAAACTTAGAAGAATCCATGTTATATTGATTGGCCATGATCATAAATGTGTGAATAAAAAATACATACAATTATACATTTTTAAATGAAAAAGACTAGCTCATTTTGGGGGTCTGTTTTTGCAATTATTTGAGAGGCAGAGAGTTAGAGAAAGGGAGCTGTCTTGCAAATGATTGACCCTCCTCAAACGTCCAGAATGCCAGAGCTGGGCCAGGCCAAGTCGAGGCGTAAAGAGCTCCACCCGGGCCTCCCACAAGGGCAGCGGGGACACAGTCACGGCAGCCATCTGTGCTGCCTGCCAAGGTCTGCACCAGCAAGAAGCTCAAGTCAGGATCCAGGCCTAGACATCGAACGTAGGTGCTCTGATATGGGATCTTAACCAACGAAACAAACCGTTGCCCTAAATCATTGTTAAAAAAAGAAATACAATAGAAATTTTAAAATACTTTGAATTAAAGCTTGTGGGTTGAAGTAAAAGTGGCAATTCAAAGAACCCATAAAGTTAACTCCTTATGTTAGGAAATTAGCAGTTAAGAATGAAATATTTTGGGGCCAGTACCGTGGTATACTACGTTAAGCCTCCTCTGTGGTGCCGGCATTCCATAAGAGTTCAAGCTCCGGCTGCTCCACTTCCTGTCCATCTCCCTGCTAATATGTCTAGGAAAGTAGTAAAACATTGGGGCCTGCATGATGACTCAAGTGGCTAATCTTCTCCTTGTAAGTGCTGGGATTTCATGTGGGCACTGTTTCGTGTCTGACTGTTCCACTTCCCATCCAGCTCCCTGTGTGGCCTGGGAAAGCAGTTGAGGACGGACCAAAGCCTTGGGACCCTGAATCTGCATGGGAGACCTGGAGCAAGCTCCTGGCTCCTGGTTTCAGATCATCTCAGCTTCAGCCATTGCTGCCATTTGGGGAGTGAACCAGTAGGTGGAAGATTTTCCTGTCTCGCCTTCTCCCTGTGTATCTGACTTTCCAATAAAGATAAATAAATGTTTTAAAAAGTATAAAGCGCATTTGGCAAGGTAGCTATAAGAGCAACATATGAAACTAAATTCTATTTTTATAAGCAAGAAATAATTTTTTAAAATAATATTTAAGATGACATCATTTATAACCATAATAAACTGCACTGAATCTAGAATAACTCTTTAAAAACATTTATTTGGAAAGCAGAGTTGCAGAGAGTTACATCTTTTTTTAAAGATGTATTTATTTTTATTAGAAAGGCAGATTTTTACGCAGAAAAGATGCAAAGATGTTCTATCCACTGGTTCACTGCCCAAGGGCCTGTAACAGCTGGAGCTGGGCTCAACAGGTGCAGCGTCCCAAGGCTTTGGGACATTCTGTACAGCTTTCTCAGGCCACCAGCAGGGAGCTGGATGTGAAGTGGAGCAGCCGGGACACAAACTGTCACCCATATGGGATCCTGGCACTTGGGAGTAGAGGATAGGCCGATTGAGCCATTGTGCAAGTTCCAGAGACAGAGAGATCTTCCACCTGCAGGCTCCCTTCTGAAATGGTCACCGACAACCATGGCTAGACAGGAGGTATCCAAGAGCCAGGAGTTTCCTCTTTGTCTCTCACATGGGTCCAGGTGTCCTAGTGCTTGGTGCGAGGGCCATCTTCCACTGCTTCCCCAGGGACACCAGCACACAGCTGAATCAGAAATGGATTACATGGGATGATGGCACCACAGGTGTTGGCTCAACCCACTATGCCACAGCCCCATATCCTAGAATAAATCTCATCAAAGATGGGCAACTTTGTCTAGTGAAAATGAGAAAAATGGCATTGGAATCATGAAATAAAACCCAAATAACTATATAAAAATATAAAGATGATGTAGAAAAGTCCATTCTCCCTCCAAACCGGTCAGTAGAATGCAGTTCCCATCATTATCACACGAAGAGTTAAAGATATTTTTTGATACCAAATGGGAGAGCAAAGTGCTAAGAATGACCACGATATTCTTGAAGAAGTGGTAACGATCTCAGCAGGCAGCAAAACTCCCACTAAGCTGTCACAACCAGGACAGTCGGTGTTGGCAGGGGCCTGACAATCGTGCATGATGGACCCTTGTTAGGGCAGGAATGGCCAGTGGACAAGGAATTCCAGTCCATCCGTGCTCTGTGCACAGCTGGCTGGTCATTTGGGAAATCGAGGAGTGACTCTTACTCCTTATGAAACACAAATCAATTCCAAATGCATTCATGATTTAAATGCAAAAGAAAAATCTTTGAAACTCTCTCCAAAAACTGTAATACTTTTTTGACTGTAGGGTAGGTAGAGATTGTTTTAGATACCAACATTATTAAATAAAGAAAAAGATTGATTAAGCTTAAGAGGGGTGATTCATCCAGAGACCCCAGAAATGAGCATTTGGCACAGGACTGACATGTCAGCGGGGACACCCACACCCCTTGGAGACGCAGGTGCTGCTCCATTCTGACTCAAGCTGTCTGCCACTGCTCCCCCTGGGAGACGCAGGGGCCAGCCCAGGTTCCTGGGTCCCCACCACCCACGTAGGAGACCTAGCTGGAATTCCTGGCTCCCGGCTTCTGCCTGGCCCAGCCCTGGTAAGTGGGAGACATTCAGGCACCCAGAACCGTGGCTGGAGCTGCTGGGGTGCAACTTGGTGGCGGTGGAAGCTTCCAGAGATGTCACTCTGCAGAGCCTACTCTGCTGAATTTTTGCTATTGTTGCCAGCTAGAAGCAGAACAGTTTTCAGGTCCCATGGGACCTCCACCCAGCCCTTACTGTCAGGCTCCTGATTTCCTAAGTGTGCCAGCCCCCGCGCCACCCTCAAACTTGTTTTCCGGGCAAGTCTGACTCCGCACAGCTATGGCCTCCTCGGTTATGTAAATTTTTACCTGCCCCTCCAGCTTCATCCTGGCTCCGAGCTTTACCTCCAGCCCGCAGCCGGGAAGGGGGTGTGGCAACGCGCCGAGCCTCGCAGGCTCCGCCCCGGCCCGCCCGTCGCCGGTGCACGGCCGAGCCCCGCCCCCAGCGCAGCCACGCCCACTCCAAGCCCCACCTGCGCGTCCTCCCTTGCCAAAACCCGGACAAGTGGATTCCGCGCTCCGCACGCGCCTGCTAGGCCCAGTCGGCAATAGCCGGGCCCGGCTCGCAGGCAGGACTCCCGGCCCGGCGGCTGGACGCGGGAGCCGGCTCCGAGCGGGAGCGGATGCGGCGCCGGGCCTGCGCGGGTGAGCGTCCTGCGGGCCCCGGGGAGGGCCCCGCTCCCACCCGGGCAGCCCCGCCCGGCCTCCTAGCAGCGCCGCGACCGTGCGCGCGCCTGGGGTGCGGGGCGGCGGTGGGCGGCGACGCCCGAGGGAGGCCGGGCTGGGCGGGCGCGCGGGGCGTGGGCGCTGCGGGGCGTGGGCGCTGCCCCGCCGGCTCCGCGTCGCCATTTGGAGGGCTGGGCTTCCCAGGCCGCGCTGTGCGCCGACCGCGGGACGCACGCCAGCCCTCTCCCCCTGTCTACTCTGTCGATGGGGGTTCTAGGCCATCGGGTGCATTTTGGTTGAAATTTTAGTTATATACTCCAATGTTTTGTGCGTGATTTTTTTTTAGGAAAATAATTTATGGATGTTTTTGATCGTTTCGAGATTAAAGGTCTTTTCCAGGCACCACTTTTGCAAACACATCTCGCTGTAGGTGGGTCTAGCCCCTGATACTTGAGAGCTGTGTCAGCTAGGTCACGGAACCTCAGCTCTGGCTGCGTGTCTTCCTGTGTGACATGAGCTACTAGAGCTCGTTGCAGAATCCCCCAAACCTGAGGCCCCACGCCTTCAGCAGGCCAGCCACCGAGGTGGTGTGCGGAGAAATAAGTTTTTCTTGCCATGTGCAGGCAGAACCAGGGAACTGAGCAACCCCGCCTCACTCCCCAGGGGTAGGGAAATGGGGCTCACAGATTGGAGGGGTACTGGGACCTGTACAGGGGTGCAACTCCTGCGCAGCTCTCCCCAGTGGTGGCCCTGCTGCCCCTTCCCTTCTCTGTCCAGAAACGGTTCTTTTTTTTTTTTTTTTTTTTTTTTTAATTGGAAAGATTTACAAAGAGGAGAGACAAAAATCTGCTGGTTCATTCCCCAAGTGACCACAATAGCTGAAGCCAGGAGCCAGGAGCTTCTTTCTGATCTCCCTTGCGGGTGCAGGGTCCCAAGGCTTTGGGCTGTCCTCCACTGCTTTCCCAGGTCACATGCAGGGAGCTAGAAGGGAAGCAGAGCAGTTGGGATAAGAACCAGGGCCCCTATGGGACCCTGGTGCATGCAAGGCGAAGACGTTAACCATCAGGCTACCATGCCAAGCCCAAAGATGGTTCTTTTGGGAATTTTGATGATGGCAAAGTGGGCCGCTGTCAGGTAGCACTAGTTCTCTCTCTCTTTTGCTCTCTCTTTTATTTTTGTTTTAATGTTTACTATTTCAGATAGAGAGGTAGAAGAGAGAGAGATCTTCCATCTACTGGTTCACTTCCCAAATGCCAGCTGGCATCCATGGCCCACCTGCCTGGGACTCCAGTTGAGTGTCCTGCGTGGCAATAGTTCGCTTCCTCCCAGGAGGTATTAGCAAGAAGCTGAAGTGCGAGTGGCTGGCTGTGGCATCCCAAGGGCTGGCTTAACCTCTCACACCACAAGCACACACCATGCCCTGGTAGCTGCCCCCCAGGTTCTGGGCCAGGTTCTTGGAAAAGCCCTCAAGCGCCAGAGCAACCAAGTAAATGTTGTCTGCTGGGGAGACACACGATGTCCGGGGGTGTGTCCCAGGGACCCTGGGGAGCCAAGTGCACCACCGCCTCATGTAGCTGGTTAGTTTTAGTAAGTTGGTTCCCGAAGAACAGAGCCTGTGGGAGACCAGCGCCTGATAACATCTGATGCCTGCATCAAAGGCGCTGGCTGGCCACTACTGGCTTGCACACAGAGAGGCCCTTATTTTCACACTATCTGCTGTATGATAACCCTCTGTGATAAACGTGATACAGCATATAAGGCAGGGTTATCTGTGTGTTCACAGGGCAGTCCTTGGCTGCTGTACGTTATTATAAAGATCCAGTGACACATGGTGGGGCCAAACAGGCCCTGAGGGACAGGAGCAGTGTTCTCTGTAACTGGTGGTTTTGATTGTAGACGTTCTGATGGTGAAGCGTTCCTGTTTTGTCTGGTGAGAACATAGTAGAGGGCTTGCTGTAGAAATCTCTAGAATATCAGGCTGCTGTGTGACAGTACAGGTCATCAGTGAGCAAAGATTGCCCGCGAGCACACGCTCTGCCAAACCAGGTGCAGCATCTGCCCAGTGCCATGTGTGACCCAAAGGACTCTGCCCACCAGAGGAAGTGGGTGCAGGAGGGCCTGAGGGCTGAGATGCCATTGGTCTTGACCGCTGCTTTGAGGAGATGCAGGATGATGGTGCATTGCCTAGTGTCGGAGCTCACTGAGGCTTGGTCAATGTCACTGCGATTTCCTCCACAGGCTAGGAAGGATGTTTGTTCCAAGGTCGCTCAAAGTCAAGAGACATGCCAATGATGACAGCAGAGGTGGTGCAGCTAAGAAGGCCAAACTGGAAACAGAAACCCCTTCTCTGGAGAGAGGCGGAGATGCCCCAGTGGAGGCCTTGGGTACTGAAGAAGCTGTGGCACCCGCCCAGCCCAGCAGCAAACCATGCCCCATGCCCAGTTCGGTTGGCCATTCGGCCGAGGTATGTTTGGAAGGACCACATCTGGGGACAAAGGACAGCCACCCTGCAGATGAGCCTGTAAAGTCGTTTTCCAAAACCCAGCGCCAGGCAGAACCTGGGGAGCCCGTGTGTGTGGTGTGTGGTCGGTACGGAGAATACATCTGTGATGAGACGGACGAAGACGTGTGCAGCCTGGAGTGTAAAGCAAAACACCTACTCCAAGTGAAAGGCATGGGGGAGCCAGGAGAGGCGAGTGGTCCCCAGCAGGCAGGCCCTGAGCTCGCCTCGGCACCCCACACCACCTATGCCTACAGAGAGCACCCCTTCATTGCCAGTCTCCACGAGGACCAGGTGGCGAACCTGAAACAGCAGCTGGGCATCGTCGTCCATGGGCATAAGGTGCCCCGGCCCATCATCGAGTTCGAGCATTGCGGTTTCCCTGAGACCTTGAATCACAACCTGAAGCGGGCAGGCTATGAGGTGCCAACCCCCATCCAGATGCAGATGATGCCCGTGGGCCTGCTGGGTAGAGACATTCTGGCCAGTGCGGACACGGGCTCTGGGAAAACGGCAGCCTTCCTGCTCCCCGTGATCATGCGTGCTCTGTGCGAGGTGAGTTCCCAGGGCGCAGGGGCTCATCTCGGAGCCAGGTGAGCAGCTTCCTGCCCTTCCGCCTCAGTGCGATTAAAACTGCAAGCAGAAGGTAAACGTTGGGAATTGGGGCACAGCAGTGCCTGCTGATTGTTCTTGTAGAAGTTGGTGTAAGACACAGGAGTTTTACCTTGTTGTTTTGAACTGATGATCTTGTTATACAAGGTCTAAAGAATTGCTTTCCTTACAAAACAATTTGATTTAAACGGATTTTCTACTCAAAAAATAAGCTTTTAATTTGAGGGAGGAGAATCCTGCTGACCAGGTAAACTGCAGGTTTTGTTAATTTCGCCTCCTTAATTTTGGTGTTTTGAAGAAACTTGCTAGTTTATCCCCAAGTTGCAACACTACTGTAATTTCAAAATATACACTAAGATAGATGATTCATGGCTCATCTTAAATAATACCACCTTACATCACTTGTTAGTTCATGGAGTATAAAGCAGTTTCACACATAATTAGTGTAAAAATATTTTTCAGTAATTACTGTTTGCCAAGTGTGATGAGCTTGTGAGGTGTGAAATATGGCAAGGAGAGAAACTGGAAAGTGTGGGCAATGTGAAGAATAGCAGAGGGAGAAATTTGGGAAGCAAAAAGGTGGTAGAACGTTTCTTCTTCTGGGAGGAAGAAAATAAAGGGAGGCAGAGAATGTCCAGACACCCACCAGGACAAGGGGGTTGGCTGACAGGTGCCAGAGAACAGGTAGAAGGCGTTCCTAGTGTCACACAGCCCAGTGGGTGACTGCAGTGCACGGCACTGCTGATGTGTTACCTGAGCACCCAGGATGGGCCCCAAGGCTCCGGTCCTAAAGGAATGACGCAGAGGGCAGAGTGTCACGGGCCCTGGTTAAGCACTACACATCATATGCGTGTGTTGATATGTTACACCGTGCCTCCTAGATATGGCCAAATAACATTAATCAAAAACTTCAATTAAAAATGTGATAAATGAAACTTCGATTAAATAAAACAGGGGTGGTGGTATTTGGCTGCATGATTAAGCTACTATATCTCACATGGAAGTGTCTGGAATCAAGTCACTGGGTCTGCTCCTGACTCCAGCCTCCTCCTCGTAGCACCCCTGGGCGGTGGCAGGTGCTGGCTCAGATAGCTGGGGTTTTGCCAACCGTCGGAGAGACCTGGGTTGAGTTCCCAGCTCCCAGCTGCTAGCTTCAGCCAGGCCTGGCCGCAGCACTTGTAGGTATTTAGTGGGTAAATCAGGAGATGGGGGAGTACTTTGTTTTTCTCTGCCTCCTAAATAAACAAATGAAATTAAGAAAACACTGATGTATTGCCTAATTGCCCTGCATGTATTGTACAATTCTAAAACGCCCACCAACAGTTTTTCTGTTGTTGGTTTGTATTTTCATGTGGTTGTGTGAAATGTCCTTCATTGTATCATGTTAATTGGGTACCATCAACCAGACCCTCTTCTAATGTCCAGCCCCCGCTCCCCAAAAAAAGGCACATTGGAGGACCACATGGGGCTGTAGGGCTGGAAATCTGACACACAAACACACACGGGCACAAGGTCACTCTTACACACACACTCATGCACTCACATGTGCGCATCCACTCTCACACGTGCACACACTCTCACACTCACTCCCAGGTAAGGCAGGGGTGGAATGCTAAGCTTTGAATAGGTTGTCATGATGACTGTGGGATTTTCTGTGGAGGATGGCTAGAGATTCCAGTTAACTAGGAGCACGCCTGGGCTTTTCCCCCCGTGATTCTGCTGGGCATCTTTCCCAGTTTTGTTCTTTCACAGTGCACCTGCATTATGTAAGACATGGGTTCATCTTGCGAGAGTGTTTGGAAGAAGATTCTACAGCGAGCAGGAGGCAGGGGTGATGGGCATGGTGGGAGGGGAGTGTCTGCTGCTGTCATCGCTGCGGCAGTTGGTCCCCCTCAGCAGGCCTACACGGCTGGTTGTGGCTAGGCTGGTGTTTTCTCTTTACAGAGCACATCTCCTTGTGCCCTCATTCTCACGCCAACAAGAGAGTTAGCCATTCAGATTGAGAAACAAGCCAAAGAACTGATGAACGGCCTGCCTCACATGAAGACCGTCCTGCTTGTGGGGGGCCTGCCTCTGCCCCCTCAGCTGTACCGCCTACGACAGCATGTTAAGGTGAGTGGTGATTTGGACCACATAGAAACCCATGGCTTTGTTTCCTTTGGAGGAAGTGTCCAGTGTGAATTTAGAGACCCTTTAGAGCAGGGGCTAGGAACTTGTATCTGCCTGGGGCCATTTGGATATTTATAGCTTCCTTTGTCCATGCAAGAGGATCAAGCTCAAAAGTGAGCCTGCTGTGAATGTGGTGGATTTCCAGTCCCTCCTGCTGTAGTTGGCAGGGAGGGCCAGAAGAAAGGATTTCCCAAGCCTTTCATAGCACAGCCCGTTTTGGATGGTTGAGAAGTTGAATCTCAGAAAGATGGGATTTGTGGCCCAGAAATTAACAACTGCTCATACCAAAACCTTAATTTAGCTGCTTTTGCTCCTTCCTTAACCATGCTATTACAGGAAATCTGTATTTTCTGACATGGAAAAGAAGGTGAGAGAAGTGTGTGTGTGTGGTTCTGGTTTGCGAACATAGTAGCAGTGTGAGCATAGGTTAGAACAGTGTGGTCCTAGGTTGTAACATGGTAGCAGTGTGGCCCTAGGTTGTGTACATGATAGCAGTATAGCCCTAGGTTGATTCTTGCACTTCTGTGCGCCTTGGTTTTCTTGGGTTTGGGTGAGTGGTTTCCAGAAAGCAATGGCAAGCAGGCTGTCCCTCAGGGAGATTGCAGGCTTGGGGCAGGAGTCTGGTTCTGGTGGCCCCTGCTTTCTAGGATTAACTGTGTAGTTACTGGGGCATCCCAGGATCCCCAGAAGGGGGTGGAGGTGGTCAGGAGTTGGGGACTGGGGCTGGGACGGGTGTAGGAAGCAGCAGTTCTTTGCCAGTTAAGCAGATGGGTCGGCTTCGGCTGTGAGCCGTGTGGGGCATGTGCTTGCTTGTGGAATGTGCTAGTCAGGTTTAAAACCTAAAGTGGAACAAGAAATTGCAAACTGAATCTGCAAATAAACAACTGTGATATTAGATCAATGACTGCTCCAGTGTGGATCTCCAAGATATAAAACAGATAATGGTGATATTTTTTAGTTTTATTGTAAAGGCAGATTTATGGAGAGGAGGAGAGGCAGAAAAATATTCCATATGTTGGTTCCCTTCCCAGCTGGCTGCAATGGCCAGAGCTGAGCTGATCTGAATCTGGGTCTCCCATGTGGGTGCAGGTGCCCAAGGCTTTGGGCCATCCTCCACTGCTTTCCCAGGCCACAAGCAGGGAGCTGGATGGGAAATAGAGCAGCTGGGACACAAACCTGTACCCACATGGCATCCTGGCACTTGCAAGGGGGCTGATTAGACAATTGAGCCATCATGCCAGGCCTAAAGGTGACATTTTGTTAATACAGAATTATAAGCTCAGCAACATATAGGACAAAAAACAAACATTTTAGTGGACATCAAATTTGATTGGGCTCATAGAGTTTAATGGACGTTTCATGTTATTCTGTGCATTTAATTTATATTCATGGTATAGAGGGAAAACATGATTCACACAGAGAAGCAGCTGTAAATTTTACCAGCTTTTAAACAACCCTCCCTGGATTCTCATTCTTTAAAAAAACAGCTTAATGCAGTAGTGGTAGTCCCCAGCTTGCAACATTTAGTAGGTAACCCCTATGACTAGGCATAATGTTGTTATCACACATTAAAGAAAAAATTGCAACATTGTCAAATGTGGCAAGGTCCATTTGAGATTGAATCACTTTCTTCTCCCAAGCTTTTTGGAAGTGTGTCCCTCCCTCCAGATTACTGTAGAGTGTAATCTTATTATAGTGTCAGGAAATGGACATTGGTACAGCGGACTACATTAGGAGTCAGTGTTGGTGTTGTCTACCCTCAAATTTTTCTAGTTGTGTTGGATTTTTCTGTAGCACAGGAATTCATTTGGGAATTGTACGCTGCATTTAGTTGTCATGTCTGTCATCTGCAGTTTGGAGCGTTGCTTTTGTCTCCCCGTGCTCTTGGCACTTTCAATGTTTTCAAGCCGTTTAACCTGAAGAGCATCCCTTTGTTGATAAGATACAGGTGAGGTATCTCTAACAGGTGTAGCACAGAAGGGAAATCTTTTCTTTGTATCATTAAGTGGCATGTGATTTCAGTTTGTCCTTTTCCAGTAATACACATTTGTTTTTTTTTTCTGTTTCATATTTGGTAAATATTTTAAGGGAGTCCTTTAAGACTGTAAATCTCTCATGCTTCACTAAGCTCTCTGTTTACTTGTCTGTTTGTTTCTATCAGTACGGACTCATGGTTTTCTCTCTCAGTTACACCTGTTCCCGTTGTTGTTCTGACACCACAGTTGTCCTCAGTCTGACTATTGAGGTGTCTTCAAGCTGGCATCCGTGTCCCCCAATCCCAGCCTGTCCTTTTGCCTCCTGTCTCAGATGGCCCACGCTGACTCTCTTCTTTCCCTGCCCTGAGGCTCTAGTGGAGTCGTGTTTAGATACCAGTATCTGGGCTCAGCAGGTGCCCTCTGTGGTTGGGCTGTCCAAGTTTCTAAGGCTGGTCAGTGAACAGAGCCCAGGGACACTCAGGTGTCAACATGTTGACTTCTCTGTGTAAGTAGCCACCAGGAGCCCACTCAGTGGTTGGTACCGCCAACCCAAGTTCAACACAATAGGATTCATTTTGGATTTTCTGTCTTCATGTTTGTGACTCTGAGAGAGGGGAACCTGCTACTCATTTTCCTCTGTGTGTGTCATCAGCCCTTCCAGCTGGAACAAGCCCTTCTCATCGCCACTGTTCCTTACCAACTGGGGTACCTTCTTCCCCACCTACACCCTTCTCGCCCCTTCAGGCCCCAGCACCCTGAGCAAAGCTGCCTCTGCTGACCCTGCTGTGTATGGTCATTCAAAATCAAGAGAAGGAACTTTTGAAAAAATAAACTTCATAACTTCTAAACTATCAGGATAGCTGTGGCTAAGAGCAACGCAGAAGGGACAAATGCAATTCAAAATGCATTTGAACTTGGGTGGGACTAGACCCTCCACCTGCTGCATCCTTGCCTGCTGAGCATCAGTGGGTCTTACTCAGTTCTTCCTTTAGACTAGGAGGAAGGGATGAAGAGGTTCGAGAGAGCGGAGATGGTGTGTGATCCACTCAACATTGAGCTCGGAGCACTTGTTATGGCATCTGACTCAGTAACCCCTCAGTGAGACTATACTGAATGAGAATTTCTACAATTTGCTCTTTCTCTTTTATTCAGGTTATCATAGCAACTCCTGGGCGACTTCTGGATATAATAAAACAGAACTCTGTAGAACTCCGTGGTATAAAAATTGTAGTCGTAGATGAAGTAAGTAGTGCATTTAAGAACATTATTCATGTAATTTTATGTAATGCAAGAAAAGTTTGTTTTTGGTTTGTTTTTTTAAAGATTGTATTATTATTTGGAAAGGCAGATATACAGAGAGAAGGGTGAAAATTTTATTTTTTTTTATTATTTTTTTTTTTAATAAATTTTATTTTGACATTCTTTACATAGTTAATTAGGGTAAGAAGGTTCAAGGGCTACAGGAAAGTGGATAATACTAATATGTTTTCCATATTGTTACCTTCATGTTTAAAAGGGGGGTTTTAAGGGAGAAGGCCCACCCAATTTCCCACCCTCCCCAAGTCCCGGGTGTAGGGCATGCTCTGAGGTTCTTGCTCAAGTGGTTTTGATATTGCAACAGTTATGAATCGCTGTCAATCTTGCCGCTCCAAGCACTATGAGGTCTTTGAAAAATCCACTGATTGACATAGTCCATCATAGCTTAGATGGTTGGTTGACCCGGTCTGTCTTCGCTCTTTTCTTTGTTATGGTTCTGAGTCCAGCATTTAGATTAGGAAGATCTCCAAAGAAACTTCTTGTATGTGCTAACAAGTACAGGGCCTGGCACCGTCCATCGCTCCAATCAGTTGGTGGTTGCAATTCCTGGGTTGGTTCTGTGTTCACTCCCGTCTTCCACTGGAGCCAATGGGTGTTGCAGTCCAGTCTGGTTCTGCCCAGCACATACTTGGCCCTCACATAAACCAGCGGGAGCTGTAGCCTAGGTTGGAGCGACCCACAATAACCCCAACCAGGCCCACCCCCTACCCTGGTTTGCCAGTAAGTGTAGCAGTAATCCAGTCTGTCCCACATCCCATTCCACCCCAGCCACTGTCTTAGTTTTATGTCCTCCCGTGGAAGTGGTAACCCAAGAGGGATGAGCCCACTATTTCCCTCCCAGGCCTCTCCCACTCCCAGATTCCAGTTGATGCTGCCCAAACAAACCTCGCCCACTTTAATTTTGTTTGCACCAGTAGGAATAATCCGCCCAGCCTGGCTTTTCCCTGATCTAGTCCACATGAGGCGCACAGGTGTGGTAGCTCTGCCTAGTCTGGTCTGCCCCCATCCCAGCCCATGCTCTCCTGCGGAAGTAGCTGTCCAGCAAAGGAACCCTCCCTTATTCCCCTGCCAGCTCTGCCCACTTCCTTTCTTGTTCTCAGGCTGGTTGGGCGCTGCGGTCCCTTCTGGTACAGGCAACCTCACCTCGGCATTCCATAATGTGCACTAGTCTTTGTTGCGACCGACCCTGGGTCGACCCACACTGGTGCCTGGATTTGCCAGTGGATGATGTGGACAGATTCAGCCTGGTCTTGCCCCCACGTCTGCCAACTGTATGCCAGTGGGTAGGTTTCCATGGCCTTTTCTGGGCTGTTTCCTATCATGTTTCTTGCGTTTACCTGCTGGGTCTGTGTCCGAAGGGTGAAAATTTTAAAATATGATGCTAGCTCTTAGCTGTCTGTCCCAATAAAGGAAGCAGTGTTTGTTGTTAACAGGAAATGTGGAAGTAGCTATTAATGCCTAGTTGGGTAGCCTTTTCAGTTTCCTTTCTCCGGTGTGGACATGGACATTTGTGATTGTACTTTTCTGCGTTGCATTTACCTGGCACGTGTTTTTATGCCCTCGGCTTGCTGGGTAATGTAATATAAGCACGTTACTCCAAGGTGCTACTCCACTGTGTGAGTCAGCCTGAGAACCCAGAGCCATGGGCCAGCCTGCCCTGGCCATCTGCCGGACCTGCCTGCAGGGGACAGGGGCCTGTACACATCTGCTCAAGGACCTGCTGTCATCCAGCTGTGGTCAGAAATGGGGGTGCCGGGTGCTGGCCTGTTCTCCATGGGCCGCTTGCCAGGTGGCTGCAGGATATCAGAAGGCTTAAGAACATATTTGTGTCTGCGAGCCCAAGGCCAGGTTCAAGTACTCCCTCCTCTGCCCCACGTCTGCTCCCACGAAAGCATGTGAGAATGTCTCAGAAAAGCTGCGTAGCAGTGTAAACTGTCATCACCCATTCGTTTCAAACGTCTGCCACTCAGCGTTTTCCTGGGATGGGCTCTATGCTGAAGCTCATTCACTGCATCTCCTTAGTAGCAAACCCACTGCCCATGTGGCTAGGCTCTCTGTTGATGGCTGCATGTTTTGAAGTTCTCCCCATCTTAGGGCTTGAGAGTCTGTGTGGCTTTGAAACTAAGTTCCATTCCATGCCCCTTCCTGAAGTTTTGCAGGCCCCTCGGGGTCTCCTGTGTAGCACTGTGAGAGCAAGAGAGAAGTGCTTATTCAGCGCATGGGCACTGGCTGCTCTTCTGCTCCTGTGTTCTTGTGGCCTGGAGGGGCAACGGCTGGCAGGCAACCGCGTCAGTCGGTTACGTCTTGAAACCAAAGTAAAGAGTTGGGCAAAGAAGAGACCAGAGGTTTGAAGAATCCATTCTGGGAAACAAGAAGTGCAGTGGGGTGGTTAGGGTGGGGTCAAATTGCAGAGTCCCGAAAGGGAGATGGAGGAGTTTGGGTTTCATGTGGCTAGCAATGAGGCTGTTTGAATTACCGAGTTGGGGTGCAGCATATTCAAGGTGGTGCTTTAAGAAGTTATTCTGCTGCTTCGTACAAAAGAAATGAAAGAGCAGAGAATGTGAGACAGAGCAGCCAGAAACCCAGACATGGTGTGTGTGGAGTGAGGGAGGTTGCAGGACACAGCCAGCCAGAGTCAGGGTTAAATAAGAGCCTACTGTAAAGTGATCATTCATGAGTCTGCTGATGAGAATGAGAGAGAGAAGGCCACAACAGGGTGGCCCTGCCAACCACAGCTCAGCCTTTCACTGTGGGAAGAGGCGTGGGGGTCAGTCAGGGCAGGTGTGAGGCCAGGAGACTTGAGCTGGGCTTCAGACCTGTCCGGAATCCTGGATCTAAGGGGATGAATTCTGTGGATAAAAGAAGTGTCTTTAGCATTCTGCAACTGGATGGGTTCTGTAAGGGAGACGTGAACAGGAAGATGAGTGCCAAGGCCCGGCCTGTGTGGTTGGAAGGTGAGTCAGTGAGCAGGGAGTGAGAACATGAGAGGGAAGTAAGAGCCAGTCCCACCCCTGCTCACGAGGGCAGCCGTGGCTTCAGGAGTGGCGGGGTCGGGGAACTTCGGGGTTCCTGTGTGCTCAGACTCGGCGTGCTCAGCCTTCATGTGCTGACCCTTCATGTCTCCCACAGGATCTGCCTGCTCTGCCCTTCTGGGGTGTCCTCAACGGATACCTTCCCTCCACCCACACCCCCCAGGAAACTTCAGACCTGCTTTGCATTCTGCTCTGCTTAGCATGCATGCATGTCATGGCTTTTCTCATGTTGAGGCCCTGCTTTATCCCAATTATCACACTCCCTGTCTGACTGTCACATGCAGGTAGGCCCAGCCCCGGTCTTCACCACTGGCTCCCAGCACTCCCACCTGCCATTGGCAGCACAGGTTCTAGCGACGGGTCCCCAGGTCCACTGTACTAACCCCAGCTCCTAGCTGCTGTGTCATAGTCTGCCTCCACGTCCTCTGCCAGCCTGAGTTCCTGACAGAGATGACTCAGAGCGCAGTGCATGGCACATGCTAAGCATGAACTTGACCTCAGCAGGCCACTCAGTAAAGCCTGAGGAATGAATGTTTAGCCCCGTCCCCCCCCAACTCTCTAGTGTGGAGAAGAAACGGAAGTTGGGTGATCCGAGACCCGGGTAACACTGAAAATGGAAGTTTTTTCCGAGGAGTTTGGCAAGATTTAGTAATGATTAGGGGCCACCTGGATCTACCTCTTTGTCTGTTTACCTCAGACGTTTTCAGAGTAGCTTTATTTCACTGTAAGTGGTCCTAACATTTGAAGCCTGTTATATATGTAGTGCTCCTGTTGCTAGGAGGCGTTTCCTAAGTGTGTATTTTTCACATTTTAGTCTGCTCACAGCTCTGTGGCAGGCAAGGAACATTTGTTAGCTGGAAACTGTGGTGTGCTGAGAATAAGGCTTTCCCAAGATCAGTTTGTAGTGGCTTTCAAAATAGTGCAGTTCAAGGGCAAGCGTTTGCTGGCCACAATGGTTAGTTGTCGCTTGGATGCCTGAGTGCCATGTCGCAGCATCTGGCTCAGGTCCCAGCCTTGCTGCTTCCCATGCAGCTTGCTGTCAGTGTGTTCCATGGAGGCAGACGGTGGCTCAAGAGCCGGAGACTGCTTGAGCTCCAGGCTCCAGGCTCCCTCCCACACTGTGGGCCAAGGTCGGCTTCCTTATCAAGCTCACCTGTCACTAGCATCTCAATGTAGCGTGCCTAACCAGCAATCCAGGGCTCAGCCTGTGTCATGCTCATTCACGAAGGGGCAAATCAGCACCTCCTAAACTTGCTCAGGGTCACAGGTGGAGCCCAAGGTCAAACCCTGTCATGATTGTTTCATATTTATTAAAGTTTCATGGAACAAATAATATTAAAATGAGTGGCTTAAACTTATGTGGGCATAATCCATGGATACTGAAAAGTACAATGTCTTAATAGTTTAAAATAATAAAATATCTTATTCTTAAATTATAGATTCCTGGACTATATTTGAAAATCAAGATAGCCTTAGCTTCTCATCTCTTTTTTAGATATTTTATTTATTGATTTGAAAGAGTTAGAGGGAGAGATGGAGAGAGAGTGATCTTCCATCCAGGGGTTCACTCTCCAAATGGTTAAAATAGTCAGAGTTGGGCCAGGCTGACGCCGGGAGCCAGGAACTTCACGCAGGTCTTCCTTCCACAAACATTTGCGCCATCTCCCCCTGCCTACCCACTGCAATTAGCAAGGAGCTAGACCTGAAGCGAATTACCTGGGACACAAACCAGCACCCATGTGGGTGCCAGCATTGCAGGTGGCAATTCTACCTACTAAGCCACAGTGCTGTACTCACTTTCTCATTGTTTATTTTTAAGGAAGCACTAAAAATATTTTTTTAAAAGTGGGAGTTGGCCTAGCAATTAAGGTTCCTGAGTCCCACCTGGTTTCCACTGTTGGCTCCATTTCTTCACCAACACAAGCCTTCGGAGACATCGGCAATAGCACAAAGGTGATGCTTCCTGCTGGGTCCTCGTGGAGCAGAAGGATCCGGCAGCTCCCTCATCTTCCACTGTAGGGACAACAATCCCATTCCTGGGATGCCATCCCCAGGGCTTCCTCACCCCCCAGAAAGGCCTAGCTCCCAGTACTCACACTCGGGGGTCAGGTTCCAACCTTCAGACCTTACAGCCCTCAACATGGACGTTTTCTGTGTAACATGAAATTTCCTTGTAGACATCAGTGTCAATGAGGTCCAGGTGCATGGTGGTCACTTCAGCTTTGCAGACACTAAAACCCAGCAAGTGGACGTGGCCCTCAACAACCTGCAGCCTTCCCCCCAGCCTTTGCGGTTAAGCTTGTGTGTGCTATGTGCTAATACACAGTGTTCTGTGCCTTTCCTTTTCTTTGTCAGCAGTCATTCACTACCTAAAAAAGGCTTTTATTTCTGGAATAATCTGGAACAGTACAGCTTACTGTTATATTATGTAGATCCCCAAAATGTGTCCAGTATAGATGAGTGTTTAGGAAACATTAATTTTTGGCTACTCTTAATAATGCCAAAGTCTTTGTATGTGATTATAAACATTTCGTTACACAGTTTACAATTTTATTTGAAGTTTTCTGTTGACCCTTGGTCTTTTGATGTGGTTTGTAATGTGTGTCTTTGTATTTGGGATGTGTCTTCCAATGCAGAAGTTTCCATTGGTTTATGTTCTTGGTTGTGTCAGACTTTCTTCAGTGGTGCCAGGTTATAAAGCCAAACAGGACTAACTTTATTTTTTTTTTTAAGATTTATTTTTATTATTTTTTTATTGGAAAGGCAGATATACAGAGAGGAGATATAGAGAGGAAGATCTTCTGTCTGATAATTCACTCCCCAAGTGAGCACAACGGCTGATGCTATGCCGATCCGGAGCCAGGAGACTCTTCTAGGTCTCCCACGTGGGTGCAGAGTCCCAAAGCTTTGGGCCGTCCTTGGCTGCTTTCCCGGGCCACAGTCAGGGAGCTGGAAGGGAAGCGGGGCCGCCGGGATAGAACTGGCGCCCATATGGGATCCCGGGCGTGCAAGGTGAGGACTTTAACCACTGCGCCACCGTGCCGGGCCCTAGGACTAACTTTAAAATGGTTTTATTTTAGGCTGATACCATGTTAAAGATGGGCTTTCAGCAACAAGTGCTTGACGTTTTGGAAAGCGTTCCTGGTGACTGTCAGACCATTTTGGTGTCAGCCACGATTCCAGCTAGCATCGAGCAGCTCTCAAACCAGCTGTTGCAAGACCCCGTGAGAGTCACCGCTGGAGAGAAGAGCGTGCCCTGTGCCAGCGTGCGGCAGATTGTCCTGTGGGTGGAAGACCCTGCCAAAAAGAGGAAGCTGTTTGAAGTCTTGAACGTGAGTAGGGAGGTGGCCAACTGCCTTTTCTGGACTGTTTCTGCATTTTTCACACCTGCGAAGAATATAATCTTTTGGATATAGCTTTTGGGGAATATGGTGTAGGTGTTTAATAATAAAGTGGTTTGCCTGCCCCAGCATCCTATGAGGATAGAATAAACTTACTTCTTTAGATGTTGCATGGTAGAATGGTTGGTTTTTCTTTTCCCTATCACAGAAATTTATTTATATATCTGTATTATTCCTAAATTTTTTTCTCTCAAAGATTATTGACAGTTTTAGAAAAGAGGTGAGGGCAGAGTATTTGGTGACCATTTTTTCCCTGAGGAGTTTTTAGCTGTTACAGGTTTAAACAGAATTGTGTTCAGTGGGTAATACTTGTAAGCAAAGTTATTAGCAGAAATGGCCATAAGTTAAACATGGTTTGTATTGACTTGTAAGAAGCGTTTATTACTGTGTTGGTTGCACTTACATTTTTTGATTTATGTTTAAAGTATTATTAATGATCAGTGTAAAAGGCTATTTGGTTCCCATTGGTGCACATTTTCAAGAAAATTCTTTACCTGGGTATGCCTTGTTTGCTTTCTACATTTTTTCCCAGTTCAAGCATTTAATTACAGCGATATAAAATGGGCTAATATAATTTTAAGTACTAAAAAGGTGATGTATTTTTTGAAGGAGTGAATAAATGAATGAGAGTAGTGAGAAAGTAGGTTCTGTGAGATGAATGACACAGTATAGAGATGTGCAGAGGAAGAAAGCAGCGCAGTGAATGAGTGATGCTGATTGAGCACTACTGTTCCAGTGACGAAGCTTTCCTGGAAGTAGGATCCACTTTGAGATCAAAGATGAGGATCTCATCCTGGTGATTCTGAAGAGAGAGAGTTGTGTCCACTGTACCTCACAGCACACACTCGGGCAGGGCGCTGACAGGGTCAGTGTGTCCACTGTACCTCACAGGGTCAGTGTGTCCACTGTACCTCACAGGGTCAGTGTGTCCACTATACGGAATAGCACACTTGGGACAGGCCCAGACAGGGTTTTGCTGTGGACCTGGTTCAGTTCCTCCAGCGATGATGGAGGGATGAATGCTTGCCATCCAGAACCAAAAAGACAACTAAGATATTCTCCCATACTAGAGGGTTGCTCATGAGAACCTGACAGATAGCTGAGCACACTAAAGCTTTCGGAGCCCACTGTGGACTACAGAACAGGAATACTTCTAAACATGCGTTTATCATTTTTCAGGACAGAAAGCTCTTTAAGCCCCCGGTGCTGGTGTTTGTTGACTGCAAGCTTGGAGCAGATCTGTTGAGCGAGGCCGTGCAGAAGATCACTGGCCTCAAGAGTGTGTCCATGCACTCAGAGAAGTCGCAGACAGAGAGGAAGGACATACTACAGGTGGGACACTCAGCAGGCTGCGTTCTTGTCTTTCCTGCACACATTTTGTCAGATTTTGAAGACACAATGGTCTTCCACAACAGCAGGCTTTCATGGCAGCCTCTCGTTGGATGACCACAAGGACTCCGGGCACGCCCTGAGCAGCAAGTGAATTATTTCTTGTGTTCAGACTTTGTGTTTGGGCAGCAGCAGGCCCGTTCTCCAGGGAGTGTGTAACCACTGCATTAGGGCTACAGAAGGCACCATTTCTGAAATCCACTCTGCACACAACAGAGCCTTAGCTCATCCCTGGAAAAGATTTGCCTGAGTAAATGAATGGAATAAATTCCACGGGGCCAGCGAGGATTTAAGCTACATGCAGTTTTCAGGAACACCAAGGCCTTTGATTATTGAAAAGATAGTAGCAAAAGTTTCTGAGCATGCATAGAAAAAAAAGAGAACCTGGCAGAATGACATGGAATCACGGGGGACAAATTTAATTATTGTTGTTTGCTGTGTTTTGGAAAGGGGCTGCTTGAAGGTGACTATGACGTTGTGGTGAGCACGGGCGTCCTGGGACGAGGCCTGGACCTGGTTAGCGTGAGGCTGGTCGTCAACTTCGACATGCCCTCGAGCATGGATGAGTACGTGCACCAGGTAAGGACCTCTGCGTGGCTTGCGCTGGGCGAGGCGTGCTCAGTGCGATGGGGAGTTTGAAAAAACAAACAAGATCTAGAAGTTGGGATTTGTCTTTTAAAATTTAAATCTCTCTCTGTGTGTATATGAATTTTATTTTTAAAGGTAAATTTTGTTTTAACGCCTACAATGCATTAAAATGACTGGATGTAACCTAAAATGTTCTTTAAAACATTCAAGTGATAAAATTTTGTTTCCATTTTTGCTTTCTTGGTTTTTCTTGTTCTTTTCAGTGAACAGGTTAATGGCCCTTATACTAAAACAAAAAACCACACCGCTTTGTTTGAAAAGATTGTTTGAAGTTGATATATGTGGCCAAAACAAAATCAATCCCTCAGCGCGCGGGTTGTTTTCAGGAATGTTGTCTTCATCTCCTCTCCATGTCCTTACTTGTTCTAGTCTTTCGCCCTTGAAAGTCCTGGCCTTCTGTTGGCCGCCAGAGGTAACGAGAGCTGCTCTGGGCAGTGGACACAGAGCCTCCTTTGCGCCACGCTGTCGCCCGGCTGCCGGCCGCTGCCCGTCTTCCTTCTCGGGTGTTCTTAGAATCACCTCTGGTGGCCCCAGTGGCTGGAGCCGGCCTGCCGCGCTCTCTGCCTTCAACGAGCTGCTGATCCCGTGGCGTGTGGCCCCTCGCCTTGCCTCCTCTGGCTGTCCTGGTTGCACTGCATTTACCTATGCATCAGGAAGTAGGGGGATCTATAAGCATTAATTTGTTCAAGCCACTGACCTTTATTTCCTTTCAAATTTTTGGTGATTTTGAATCTTTCTGTCATAGTGAGCTAGCTACAGTGACAGTGACAGCTTGTTGGAGCAGCGCTGCTGAGCCTTGGCTTACAGCAGCAAGGTCAGCTGTGCCCTCAGGGACACTCGAGGCACTGGGCTGTCAGGCTGCTGGCCTCGGGTGGTGGTGTCGAGTGGAGTTTGTTACCTCCGAACCCAGGGCTCCTGGCCGTTTGGGTTCTGTGCAGAGGTGGTGTTTTGTCTCATTCATCAGAGTACATACTCAAGGATTGCAGTGCAGATAAAACATGTATAAGGACAGGCAATCCTCCTTTTCCTGTCCCCTTCCCGCTTTGAGTGGCTACAGCATTTAAAACGTGCAGAGGGTATGCATGTGTACACACAGATATGCACATCCATACACATATGCATCCCTTATTACACGTCTTGTGTAAATGGAACCTTACATACACACTGCTAAATACCTTTTAAAAAAAAATAAATAAAGTTAACACTTTTTACACATTTTCTGTTGGGCCAAGCAGTGTTCTAAGCTTTAAATTTTAATTTTTTAAAGATTTTTGTTTATTGGAAAGTCAGGCCCAGTAAGAAGTATCTTTATGGTATCATTCTCTTCTCCTCCCCCCATACAGGTGTAACAAAAAACACAAGTTTCACAAACAGTACTTTTAAGTACATGTATCTATATCTATAGATATAGATGTAGCCTGGTACAGAAGCCTAGTGGCTAAGGTCCTCACCTTGCACGCAACAGGATCCCATATGGGTGCCAGTTCTAATCCTGGCAGCCCCACTTCCCATCAAGCTCCCCGCCTGGGAAAACAGTCGAGGACAGCCCAAAGCCTTGGGACCCTTCACCCTGCAAGGGAGAGCTAGAAGGGGCTCTGGGTTCCTGGCTTTGGATCAGCTCAGTTCTGGCTACTTGGGGAGTGAATCAATGGACAGATCTTCCTCTCTGTCTCTCCTCCTCTCTGTATAAATAAATAAAAATAAATAAAATAATAAAAAATAAATATGTGTATATTTTTAAAATATATATATTTGGAAGACAGTTATAGAGAAAGGGAGAGAGAGATATTTTGTATCCACTGCTTCATTCTCCAACTGGCTACAACAACCAAGCTGGGCCAACCCAAAGACAGAATCGGGGTCTCCTGCATGGTTCAAGGACATCTTCTGCTGCTTTGCCATGTGTATTAGCAGGGAGCTGGTTTGGAAGTGGAGCAGCTGGACATGAACTGGTACCCATGTATGAATGGGGGTATTACAGGGAACGGTTTAACATACCTCATCACAATGCTGGCGCCTCCACAAATAATACTTTTAGTACATATTTATTAATATTTTAAAGAGTTTAAGGAAGAAATAGAGGCAGAGAACTGTCTTCCTTGTGCTGTTCACTCCTCAAATAGTTACCATAGCTCCCATGCAGGTGCAGGGTCCCAAGGCTTTGGGCCATCCTTGACTTCCTTTCCAGGCCACAAGCAGGGAGCTGGATGGGAAGCGGGGCTGCCGAGATTAGAACCAGCACCCACATGGGATGCTGTTGCATGCAAGGCGAGGGCTTTAACCACGATGCTATCGCACCAGGCCCTATGTGGGTTTTTCAATAGACATGCTGGTGACAGCAGCTCACTGAATTGATTTCACAGATAGGTTGAAATGCAAAGTTCAAAAGCTGTTGCTTCATCTCTTTAAACGACCTTCATTTGGCTTGCAGAGCCGTTCTGGTGTTGCAGGAGTTTGCAGGAGTTTCTTGAAAATGTCCTTGATGTCTCTTTGCAGGTTGGAAGAGTGGGAAGGTTAGGCCAACAGGGAACAGCCATCACCTTCATCAATAACAATTCAAAACGCCTCTTTTGGGACGTGGTAAAAAGAGTGAAGCCCACAGGATCCCTTCTGCCGCCACAGCTGCTGAACTCACCTTACCTTCACGAGCAGAGGCGGAAGGAGCAGCAGCGAGAGAAGCAAACGCAGGGCGACCTGGTGACCGAGGCCAACCTCATGGCCATCATCCGGAAGCACGACAGGAGTAACGCCCAGAAATGACCAGAAGTGACCGGGAGACGGAGACCTGCTGCTTGGGGTCTCCGGTTTGTGCGTTTGCTGGGACATTGACTGCCCTTGGTTACTGTGTGTGGCTGTAGTAAATGAGAATGTACTTGAACCCAAAACCTTTAAGATATGATTTTTTTAAAAAAAGAGATTTTTACACAATTTATATAAGAATATTATATATTTCCCTTTTCCGGTACCATAAATTAGAAAAACACAAGTGGGAAAATAGAATATTTTCTCATCTGGATGAAGATGTGTCATGTTTTGCATCATTTGTTTTTTATTTATTTATTTTTTGAACCTTAGCATGGACGGCAGGGACAGGGTCCCCACAGCTAGGAGCACTGCTCTGAGCAGGGAGTCTGTCCTCCACCCCATGGGACCTCACGTTCACTGGAGCTTGAATCACTGTGGAATCACTGAGTGTTGTGACGACAGTAAATGGAAAGGACTAGAAGAAACGGTGAGAACTACCTTTAATTTTTACTTAAAATTTGTGCTTGTTTTTACTTTGAGAGACATGATGAGAGAGCCTCTAGTCACTGATTCATTATACAAGGACCCAAAACCAGCCCAGCCTGGGCCAGACCAGAACCAGGAAGACATTGCTGAATGGGTCTTTCTCTTTCTGTAGCAGGAACCCAGGTACTTGAGCCATCACCTGGTACCGCCCCAGATGTGCATGAGCAGGAAGCAGGATGGGGATCAGAGTGTATGGGATGTGCGTGGTCCAAACAGCATCTGTAGCCCCTGCACCTGCCCCCAGAACCACACCCCAGGAGCAGCTTTCAGAACCACACCCCAGGAGCAGCTTTCAAAAGATAAATATGAAATGTCTGTTTATTTTAAACTCAGTTGTTTGCCTTTCTGCTTAGTAAATGGCCTTTTTTTTAAAATATTTACTAGGGACTGCCTGTCAAAATAATGTCAAGCTGCATTAACATTATTATAGCTTGTGATGCCATTTTGATAATCCAGGTAATTTTTAAAAAGATATTTTATTATTATTTTTTTTAATTTGAAAGGCAGATTTACAGAGAGAAAAAAAGCGAGACCTTCCACCCATTGATTGACTCCCCAAGTAGCCACAATGGTCAGAGATGAGCCAATCCGAAGCCAGGAGCCAGGAGCTTCCTCCAGGTCTCCCACATGGATGCAGGATCCCAAGACTTTGGGCTGTCCTTGACTGCTTTCCCAGGCCACAGGGAAAGGAGGGTGGGAAGTAGAGCAGCCAGGATAGGAACCAGCACCCATATGGGATCCTGTTGGTTGCCAGGCGAGGATTTAGCCACTAGGCTATTGTGTTTGGCCTTGTTTTTTGTTGTTGTTGTTTTTTTAAGATTTATTTTATTTTTATTGGAAAGGCGGATGTACAGAGAGGAAGATCTTCCGTCCGATGATTCACTCCCCAGACAGCCACAACGGCTGGAGCTGAGCCAATCCGAAGCCAGGAGCCTCTTCCGGGTCTCCCACGCAGGTGCAGGGTCCCAAAGCTTTGGGCCATCCTCAGCTGCTTTCCTGGGCCACAGGCAGGGAGCTGGAAGGGAAGCAGGGCTGCCAGGATTAGAACCGGCGCCCACATGGGATCCTGGGCGTGTAAAGCAAGGACCTTAACCATTCCGCCATTGTGCCAGGCCCTTTTTTTTAAAAGATTTATTTGTTTTACTTAAAAGAGTTACAGAGAGACAGAGGAAAGACAGATCTTCCAACCACTGGTTCACTCCCAAAATGTCCGCAGTGGCTAGAGCTGAGCTGATTTGGTGTCAGGAGCCAGGAGCCTCCTCTGGGCCTCCCATATAGTTGGAGAGTTCCAAGCAGTTGGGCCATACTCCACTGCTTTCCCAGGTCATAAGCAGGAAGCTCTGTGAGAAGTAGAGCAGCCGGGATATGAACCAGCACCCATATGGGATGCTGGCAGCGCAAGCACTCTGACATGCCACTAGGTGCTGGCCCTTTGAAGCAGCTCTGTCATGCAACACCATCCTTGAGTGGTGAGGGAGAGATTTAGCTGAGAAACCAGTCCCTGCATATCAGGTTGTAGTGTGGGCTCCACGCAAAGTGGGGTCACAGGTGCCCTAAAGGCCACAAGGGCATTGATGCTGGGTGTTTTTTTATACCAACTGTGTCATCATCTGCACTATCGTATATGACCAAAAATAAGTACCATGAGCCTCCGTGGCAGCCTCGCTTGTCCTCTGAATTTGCCAGCAGCTGGGCTGTGTCCCCAGCATGGGTCACATGGATCCCTTCAGCTTACCATGACCTCACCACCACCCATTCTGTCCCACTCACACTGTCAACTTCCTTAGTGGACCAGACCTCTCTTCCCTGAAGCTGCAGGTGATTAATGGCGTGGCAGAACTCACCCTAACCCCTAACGCACAGCGGAGCAGTGGCTGTGGCCAGGAGCAGGAAAGCCTGGAGCCTTGGGTACCCTCCTCTATCTCTGCCACCCACCGTCTTCAGGTTCCTCCTGCAGGTTCTGCCTGATTTTCCAGGTGCCAGCTGGTGGCTTCCTCTTCCAGTCCTTCTGCCCTTCCCCTTGGCAGCCTCTTCCTTCACCCTTGTCCCACCTCCGTGTTGTCTGCAGGAACTCTTGGGACACTCATTTACAGAACAGAAGATTCAGCTTTGTGAAAAGGTTGGCCCCAGTGTTGGTGGCATAATTTTTCCCAACTAAGCATTTTTTTTTTTTGAAGATTTATCTCCTGTTCATTATTTCATGGAAAAACCAACAAGCACTACAGAGAAGCAAGGACATATTGCCCGAGAAAAGGCCAATTCCCAAAAAGGATTCCATTGTGCTATAGCTTGGAATCACAGATAAAAGGTCTCAGAGAAGAATTGTCACTTGAGATTTTCAGTTAGCTGAAATAAGTAATCACTTGTATGCTCAAATATTTGTTTTATAGTAATTATGTTCTATGAAAAAAGTACTTAAGTATAATTGCTTTACTGCTACATTGTAGCAAACATCTTTTGTATTTTAAATGCCTTAGTTATAAGTGGCTTTTAGACTCTGGAAAATTCTGTGTTGCTTTAGAAGAGACTTTTAATCCATTCCGTGTTTAATTATGGTACACTTTGAAAACAAAGTTTTTCAATAGGTCAAAATTTTGGTTTGTACTTTCATAGCGTCCTTACAAAGAACATTGTCACATATATAAATTGTAAGTCAAATCAGTGTAACACACCTAGGCTGTCATACTTCCTGGTGAAACTCCACTGTCTTCTTCTGGTGGCTGAGTATTATTCAGAATGTCCTTTGCTGTGGAATTAATATCCACATACTCCCTAGTGCCCTGGTTCATGGTCTGCTTATCACAATAGAGACAGAGTTTGCTATCTAAGTGCAGGTGTGATACAAAAGGTGGCATGTCACCCAAGGTAACTTTCCTGGCAGGCACGAGTAAGCCGACTCCAGACAGATAAAACTCCATTGTGCCTCCCAGGCATGCTTACCATGACCCCGAGACTGAGGGCCACCGCATGAAAGCCAGCCAACGGTGATGAAGTCCCCGCGGTCACCTGTCGTGCTGTCTGCGGGAAGGCGTGGGCGGTGCTGGGGGCAGGACGACAAAGGAAGCATGGCCCATGTGCGATGCCTCCGCAGGGTTCAGTTCTTAACATGAATTTAACATGAAAAACTTGCACATATTTAGGTTTCTCCTTTCATCTCCGAACGATGGAAAATCAGCAAAGCCATTGGAAAATAATGGGGTTCTAGAAAAGAACAGGATTCCGGTTGGAGCTCTGCTGGCTTGCTTATTGCAGGTGGTCATTACTCTTCAACTCCTGCTTTGCTCATCTGTGAGCAAGTTGGCTTTAGGCTCCCCGAGATCTTGCATCTACATTTTCTGGGCTTTGAACTTCTAACTTCGCATCTCCACAGGGAGGGGGCAGTGGCCAAGGTCATCATGGACGCCACGTGAAGGAGAATGGCAGTTTGCAGCCTCGTGGTTTTCAGGGGTGTATTTGAATCTTTCATCCATAATCTTTCCACTCCCATCCTCTCCGTGTGCCCTAGTCACATGCCCTCAACTTCCTGCTGGCATTGTTGGCTGAGTGGGGCCTGTCTGCAGCCGGCTGGATCGGCTTCCTGAATGTCTTTCTGTGACTTTCTGTGTGCTGCTCTCACACCCACAGGCGTGCCCGAACCCTGGGTGTCATCACTGATTCATTTCTCTCCCTAATCTCCAAATCTGCTTCGTCATCAAGGCCACTCTGCTTTTCCTCCAAAATGTCAGTGGGTTCACGTTGCCTCTGCAGTGCACAGGCGCTCACCGCAAATCTCAGCGTGGCAGCAGCCTCTCAGTGGGCTGTTCTAGGACCCAGAGCCCTTGGCCACTCCCTGCCAACAGCGCCAGCAAGTCTGTGTTCCCCTAACTGCTAGCGGGATCCCTCCTTCATCTGGCACCATGGCTCAGCTGCCTTCCTGTTTCTTTTCCAGCCATCTGCCCGGGCTTCCTGTCTGTCAGAACAGCCCTGCACACCATACTGGGGGAATCACACAGCTCCTCTCCACTCCCATGGACATTTCCATGGCACAAATAGTGAACCTGCTGGTCAGCAAGAATTGATATGTCATCTGTGAGCTCGCAAACCCACAATACAACCCAAGAACAGCAAAGCACCTGCTAAGAGGACAGTGTGTGTTTGGGAGCTGATGTTTTGTTTTTAAGATTTATTATTTTTTTTTATTACAAAGTCAGATATGCAGAGAGGAGGAGAGACAGAGAGGAAGATCTCCCATCCAATGATTCACCACAACGGCCGATGCTATGCCGATCCGAAGCCAGGATCCAGGAACTTCTTTTGGTTATCCCACATGGGTGCAGGATCCCAAGGCTTTGGGCCTTCCTTCACTGCTTTCCCAGGCCACAGGCAGGGATCTGGAGGGGAAGTGGAGCTGCTGAGATTAGAACCGGAGCCCATATGGGATCCTGGCGCGTTCAACGCAAGGATTTTAGCTGCTAGGCCACACTGCTGGGCGCAGGAGCTGATGTTTCTGATATTGTTTTTATGTATTTTGAGTCCTGGTGATACAGAGGGTTTTAAGTCCTGGGGGTCAGAAGTAACAGTGCAGTGTGAAACCGCGGCAGGATTTTACAGCTGACAGTGCCACCATGGAATCTGTATGAGTCAGGTAAGGAGGGGATGTTAGGGGTATGGCAACCCTAGGTCAGTTTCTGACAGCAGAGGCCGTTTCTCTGAAGATCGCCTGAGCTTGCGTTGTGGCCCTCGAAGTCCTGGGAAATGGCAGTGCTGACTTCTCCTTTAGGGGTAGGGACTCAGCCTCTCTGCGTTTTATTTTGGTCTCTACAAAAGCTCTCCCTGCTGGGGATGTAGAGGAGGTAAGGGTGGATGGGGGCAGCCAAGTGAGTCCTTAGGGCAGCGTTAACACGTGGACAGCGCCCCCTGGGAGCTGTGTAATGCGGCGTCTGCAAGTTGAGGGGTGACTGTCGTGGTTCAACCTTGCAGCTTGCAGCACCTGTGGGAGCGGTGTGGTGTTTCCAGGAGCTGAGGCTGCTGCGACCGGGTCCTTCCGCAGCCTCTGCTTCACAGTGCCAGTTCTGATACTGTTGTATTCACTGCGCAACCTGGCACACGACAGACAGTCCAGATCTGCCACGTTCTGTGTAATTGGTGCTGGACACGGATGAGCATGGGAAGGGCGGATTTTTGACCGGAACTAAGGAGAGAAATGAACCTCGTGCCCTAACCTCGTGAGCACCAAATTTGACATTGTGTCTGTCATGCCTCTGTTTTGCAAGTGGAAGAAGACACTTCCAGAACAAGCATGAAGTTGGCGGTTTATGTCTTAGAAAGGAGAGCAAAGGTCAGTTTTTGGGCTGGGATGGAGAGACCGTTTCCTGACATGAGTGCATTTTCAATTAAGCTAAAAAAATAACATGATAATCAGGAAAATGGAGCCATGAGCATTGAATGAATTTTTGTAAAAGATTTATTTATTTTTTATTACAAAATCATATATACAGAGAGGAGGAGAGACAGAGAGGAAGATCTTCCATCTGATGATTCACTCCCCAAGTAAGTGCAACAGCCAATGCTATGCTGATCCGAAGCCAGGATCCAGGAACTTCTTCCGAGTCTCCCACACAGGTGCAGGGCCCCAAAGCCTTGGGCCGTCCTCGACTGCTTTCCCAGGCCACAAGCAGGGAGCTGGAAGGGAAGCGGAGCTTCCGGGATTAGAACCGGCACCCATATGGGATCCTGGTGCGTTCAAGGCGAGGACTTTAGCTGCTAGGCAGCTAAATTCTTGACAGTAGCAGATGATGGTCAGTGTGCAGGGGATCGGTTTCTATGCTGTGAGTATGAAGTGAGATCAGCAAACTGATTGTCTCCTGAATACTGTAGTCAGTGGAAGAGGGAGGTGAAGGAAGAAAGAAATGCTCAAAGGAGAGGCAGGTGGGGTGCACAGCAGTGAGAGAGGTGCAGGGAGGATGGCAGGTGCCCCAGGGCAAAGCAAAAACTCAAGCAGAAAAACAGCTGCAGGTGGAACCCACACACTTTGATGCAGAGGCCGGTTATTCGCCACAGTTTAAAGCTACAGGAGATGTTGCTGATGAAGTTGTCAGGTAAGTTATTGGTTATTCTTTAAGATAATAGAATTCCTTCCTAGGTGGATAATCGTCACTATTTGCTTTGACAAGTGAAAAGGGAGCTGTTGTGGATTGAGAATCACTAAGCGATTCTTCAAGAAAATATGTAGCCCAAACTTCTAACCTGTTTAACAGAGGCAGCGAGTGACTGTCATGGCCGTGGTGTTTTCTTGGGTGTCAGGCAGCGTGCCAGCTACTCTGTGGTTTGCTGTGTGGCCTCACCCTGTGACTGGGTCCTAGGCTGCAGATCTCCCCGCTGAGGGCACTCTGCCATCCTGCCCCTTGGACTCTGCCCTGTGTTTTATGACTGCCTTCAGCCAGGGCACTGGAAGCAGACATCTTAAGAGCAGAGGTTTTAAATCACATAATGACATTCATCACTGGTACAAGTGCTTGCCCCAGGTGGCTGCCGCCCCTCCAGCCTCATCCTAGAAAGGCAGACCCAGGAAGCCTTGTCCCTGATAATTCAGATCAAGGCCAAGACAGTGGGCACTGATCACAGGCCACTGAATTTTTAGAGTTATTGCCACATGGTTTCCTGGTAGCAAAAATATAATAGCTATGGGCATTAAGAATGTGACTGTGTTACAGTGACAAACAGCCGACTGGGTGCCAGCTGGCTCACTTGTTTCTATTTTCTGAATCCTTACAGTAAGCCCTTAGTGAGAACTCTTACAGTACAAAGCACAGAGGGATTGATGAACTCCCCCATAGATGGACAGGAAAGCAGTGATTTCAACCCAGCTCCATCCTAAACTATGATAGAACTGTGAATACTTGTGAAACTGCTTTTTCACTACGCTCTCCTATTTTCCTGTGTGATTAAAAAAATATTTATTATTATTTTATTTGGAAGGTTTACAGATAGAAGAAGAGACAGAGAAAGATCTTCCATCTGCTGGATTACCCCCCAAATGGCTACAATGACCAGAGATGAGCCAATCCAAAACCACAAGCCAGGAGGTTTTTTTGGGTCTCCGACAGGAGTGCAGGGTCCCAAGACTTTGGGCCGTCCTCCACTGCTTTCCCAGGCCATAAGCAGGGAGCTGGTAGGGAAGTGGAGCAGCCAGGATTAGAACTGGCACCCACATGAGATCCCTGCACATGCTTGGTGAGGATTTAGCCAGTAGGCTACCGTGCTGGCAGCCTCATCAGGACTCCATCTGTGTTCTAAGCACAGTAAGAGCTTGGAAAGGGAGTCCTTCCGTTTGGTTGCTCAGGGACAGCTCTCCACTACCTAGAGATGGAAGCAGAAATGCTGCTTCCACCAAAGCCAAGGGAACCAGAGCCAACTCCAAGGATGAGAAAACCAATCTTCCCTCCTCCAGGAAGTACAGTGCGAGTGAGGGGATGCAGGCTAGAGGGGTGGAGACTGAGCCCCACCAAGCCAATGCAAACCTGTCCTCAGTGCACCTAATTACCCCCTGCTGGGTGCCTTTGCCCCATAGGGAGCACTGAGTTGGCTGTGTCCCGAGGTGAGGAGCTAAGTTTCCAGATGAACCTGTGATGACAGTGGCGCATCGGTTGCTACATTCCAGGAATGGACCTGGACCGGATGACTGAAGATGTCAATGGAAAGCAGGTTAATGAAATTCTGCCTCACCAAGCTGGAAGGTCCTGAAAGGAGAACGTATAATCCTTTTAAATGGAGCTTTAATAGGTACAATTGCAGAAAATAATGAGGGGTGTGAGCCCCAGGGCTAGATGGTAGCCACCTCCAGAGTCTTGTTGCAAACCGGGCACTTCCTAAGACAGCACAGAAGCCATGGTTCCTCTTGGGGCAATGGTCTCTTGCACCTCATTTAGAACATTTAGAGCTCTGAGACCTTCCCTGTTCAAAACTGTGATTCCTTAGACCACAGTGTGATTCCTAAGATGTGGCTGATCTTGTAAGTATAAATACATATTGGATATCTGAGAAAATGTAACACATTTCGATAATGTTTGTGTTGCTCATGTATCAAAATGATCATTTTGTTAGATGGTATTACATTAGGGGTATCTTTTAAGTAAATTACTGTTTTATTATTATTATTATTATTATTATTATTATTACATATTTGAGAGAGCCAGCCAGAGCTCCCATGTGCTGCACATGCCAGGAGCAGCCAGGGCTGGCCAGACAGGAGCCAGGAACTCTGACTCCATCTCCCAGGTCACTGGCAGAGACCCAACACCTGAGCCATCCTGCTGCCTTCCAGGGTTTCCATCAGCAGAAAGCTGGAACTGGGAGTGGAGCCAGGGGCGTAAGGCCAGGCCCAGTGGGATGCGGTGATCTCAACCAGTGGCCAAGCCCCTCTGGAAGCGCCCACGCCTCCTTAATGCAGCTGGGACGAGGGAGACATGTCACTCAGATTATCTTATAGAGCCTTGCCTTGGATTTTTGAAGAATGGAGCGAATTTCCAGGGTCACAGTTTGCACTCCCGTTGCTAAATCGCAGTGGAAGAAGAGCACTGTATGCAGTTTGCTGTTGCTGCTTTCTTTTCTCTAAAATATAATCTCTAACTCCTTCCACGGCTGTTGTCAACTGCCATGACTGTTTGGATTCAATGGAAGCTTATAGCACAGAAACCTAGTTAATAACAAAATGCAGCTGGGAGATAGCAAGCACACAGCAAACAGGCCGAGCCTTTATAATCGCACGTGAAGTAAGGGCAACTCATCAAGTCCACATTAATCTGCACTCTGGCTTGGGAGACACCGCTCCCATAGAGATGGCAGAACGCCATCCGTTTGCTCATCTGCGTGCACTGGTCCTAGCAGAACAGTGAGCTCCCTGTCACTCTTCAGACTGCTGAGCCTGATAGGGGAGCTTCCTCTGCCCCACCCTGCCCAGTGAGTCAGAGAACAAACTGTGGTTTAAACCAAGAAATTAGAAAAAAGAAGCCTTATGTAAGCAGGCAAAAGCATGCAGATGGGTGTGGAATTATTCATGAGGCTGCCAGTCTGAAGACCGCTGCCTTCTTCCCGCCTGCAGAGGCTGACAGGGAGCATGGGGGAGGTGAAGGCTGGAGTAGAATTCTTGCAGTCCAACTAGTGACCGGGCAGCCACCCTCCCCCCACCCCGTCCCTTGTTTCCTTACCTACGAGACAGAGACGCAATTCCTGTC